AGAACTTATATATAGAATAGAAAATCTTTTTTCTTTCTTCTTTCTTTCTTTCTTTCTTCCTTTCCCTTTGCTTTCCTTTTGCTTCTCCTTTACCTTTCCTTCCCCCTTCCCTTCCTCTTCTCTCCCTTTGCCTTTCTCTTTGAGCTGGGTTCTCACTATGGCACACGCTGGCCCCAAATGCCTGGACTCAGGGGATCCTCCTATCTCAGCCTCCCAAGTAGCTGGGACTGCAGGCATTCACCATTGCACTCCATCGAAAGTATTATTTTAAAAAAACTCTGTATTCAACGAGCACATACTTTTTTCCTTACCATTCTTCCCTGAACAATGCAGAATAGTAACTGTTAGCATTTACATTGTGTTGAGTATTACAAGTAGTCTAGAGGTGCCTTAGAGTATACAGAAGGATGTGTGAAGTTGCATGTAAATACTATACCATTTTACATAAAGGACTTGAGCAGCTGCAGATTTTATATCAGCAGGGGTCTTGGGACCAATCCCCTACAGATCCTGAGGGAACAACTGTTGATTCCAGTGACAATAAACACATGAAAAGGCACATAGGGAAATGCAAATTCAAACTACCAGGAGACACCTGCAATACTGACAAGGACTAAAATGAAAAAGTCAACCTGGGTGTGGTGGCTCTTGCTGGCCAGCATTCTGGGAGATTGAGACAGGAGGATTGCAAGGTCAAGCCCAGGCTGGGTAACTCATTCAACCGGGGTAACACAAAATAAGTAAATAAGCAAATAAGTAAATAAAAATGAAAAAGTCAAGTAATAGTGCTAGAACGTTACCTCAAGCTCTTCCACCCTGCTGGGGAAGTTAATATTGATCCATACACTGTACTTTTTTTTATTCTGGATTTACTGACGATCTCAAAGTAAATTAACAGAATCTATTCAAAAATGTTTCTCTTTCCAAGTGGGAGGTACAAGATGGCGGCTTGGCACCACCAAGCATGCGCACTGGGAGCTGTCGCCGTCGGGGAGTATCTGCTCTATCCATCCTGGAAGGAGCCTCTATTTATTCTTTTTCTTCTTTCTGCTCCTGTACCCAGACATCAGACACTCCCGGAGCCAGGTTCTCTGCTTGGTGTTTTGCTAGAGTCTGTGAGTGCCCTGAGGGTGAGACTGGACTCCTACCAGGTGGGGCTCTCTCGCTCTTGGGGAAACAAACAGGCACAAGCTACAAATACCTTGTGGTTCCAATCTCCCCCAGAGACCGGGCAGTATCCCACTCTCCCGGACGTGCCCCAAATGAATTACTGGTAGCCAAGGTTACGCTCATTTTCATTTCCCTACAGATTCAAGTTGCAGAATTGTCCTCCTGAAAGACTGGCCAGTATACATACGCCGGAGGTATATATTTGCCTTTTCTGTCAACATCATTGGTGAAATGCAATATCTTGTTTTACTTATGTCCTGACCGCTTGTGAGGCTACAGATTTTAAAATGCATTTCTGTTTCTTCTTAGGTAATTGTCAGTCCACATATTTTGACCACTTTGCCGTTAAATTTTCCCTGTAATTTTGAAACAATAATCTATGTACAAGAGTATTAACTTTTTAATCTGTTATATTTTATGGGACTGGGAATTGAACCCAGGGCCTTCACACTGTGCTATATTCCCAACCATTTTTTTATTTTTTCTTTTGAGACATAGTCTTACTAAGTTGGCCAGGCTGGGCTAGAACTTGTGATCCTCCTGCCTCAGCCTCCCAAAGTGCTGGATTACAGGTGTGCACCACCATGCCTGACTCTCTCCTTTATTTGTGCTAGGTTTTTGTTTCTTATATGAATTTTAAATGTTCATATACTAAATTATACTGTCTGTTATAACTCATTTTATAACTTTCTCTTTTTTTTTTTTTTTTTTTGAGACAGGTCTCACTATGTAGTTGAGGCTGGCCTTGAACTCATTAGTAGCCCACACTGGCCTTGAACTTATGAGCCTCCTGCTTCAGCCTCTGAATGCTAGAATTTCAGATGTGTGCCACCACACCCAGCCTATCTATTATAGCTTCTATATTTTGTGAAATATTTAGGAAAGCCCTTTTATCTCCAAATTATAAAATAGTTATGTGATTTTTAAATATTTCATTTGTTATCTTTAAATATTTAAATCACTTGGAATATATTCTGCATGAGACTCTAGTTGTGCATGTACACAATCATTTTTCCCCCAAATGCTCTACCATCATTTATTCCACACCTTTTCCTGTTTTTTGGCTCTTTTTTGGTACCGGGGATTGAACTCGGGACCTTGCACTTTTGAGGCAGGCAGGGGAACCACTGAGCTGAATCCCTGGCCTGTTTTTTGGCTTTTTGAAACAGGATTCACTGTGTAGCCCAGGGTGGCCTTGAACTCATAATCCTCCTGCCTCAGCCTCCTGAGTGCTGAGATTACAGGTGCGTGCCACCCTTGCTGGCTGATATATTGAACAGTGTGTGAATATTCCCCTCAGTTTTCTATGTTTGGATGATATGGTGGAATAGTGAGCTTTGGTATCAGAAGGCTCTCCACGGCACTCCAGCATAACAGGTGAGCACAGAACACCTAGACGACTGTGAGACCAGGGCTGTGAGACCCCGGGCCGGCTCAAGGGAGTCCCCGGTGGTGACCATTCCAACCTCAGGGCCTTCTGAGGAAGCATCAGTGAAACCAGATAGGTAAGGGCTAGGAGAGTGTCTGGGGCCCATAGATGTTTAATAAATGCCAGATTTTTCCACATGAGTCTCAACTCCTTGGAGTGAGCTGAGAATGGGATGGGTACCACCTTGGTCCTCAGATTCTTGTCTTCCCAAAGAACAGATCCACAGGTTCTCTGAGGGTTGAGGATGTTACTGTTAATCACTGCTGGAGACAGGAGACAATGGAAACCAGCACCAGAAGTGACAAAGATTGTACCTATTCTCCATTCAGCATCCTCAGCCCTGCAGTGACAGCAGCTTGGGTGGCTAATGAAGCCACTACTTCAAGGGGAAAATTTTTTTCAACTGTCCTTCCCCTCAGACCTTCTGGGTTTTTTGGGAGGGAGGGGGTTGGGGGGGAAAGGGTCTGAGACAGGGTCTCACTATGTAGTTCAGGCTGGCCTTGAACTTGTGGCTATCCTCCTGTCTCAGCCTCCCGAGTGCTGGGATTACAGGCCTGCGCCACCACGCCTGGCTCCCCTTAGATCTTATGAAGGTGGCATTCCAGTTTGTTCATCCATTAAGCAACCATTGAGCACCTACCCAGTATTCTGGACCTGAGATAACTCAAAGGCAGTTGGGAAGGTCACCCAAGTAGCTGACTGATAAATGGATAAACAAAATGCAGTGCACATATACAATAGAATTTTTTGTTGTTGTTGTTCTTGGGGATTGTGTTATTAAACCACTAAATTGTCCAGGCTGGGCTTGAACTCAAGGCTCTCATGCCTCCCAGAGTGCCACACTTGGTTTACACTAGGATATTATTCTGCTTTGAAAAGGAAGGGAATTCGGGCACATGCTATATCATGGATGAATTTTAGGTTTTTTTGTTTTGTTTTTGTTGTTGTTGTTTTTTGAGACAGGGTCTTATAGTTTAGGCTGACCCTGAACTCACTATGTAGCCCAGGCTGGCCTTGAACTCATGATCCTCCTGCCTCAGCCTCCTGAGTGCTGGGATTACAGATGTGTGCCACCACGCCAGGCTCATGGATGAATTTTAAAGACATTTTGCTAAGGAAATAAGACTGTCACAAAAAAAGGCATAGTCTATGAGTCCACATACATAAGCTAACTAGAGTGCTCAAATCCATGGAGATAGAAAGCAGAATGAAACTCACCTGGAGCTTAGGGGAGGGGAGAATGGCAGCTAGTGTCTAATAAGGTCAGAGTTTTCCTCTGGAGTTCTGGAGATGGGTGCTTCGAGGGCTGCATGATAATGAAAATTCGCTTAATGCCACTGAGCCATATGCTTGAAGACTGTTAAAATGGTCAGGTTTTTGTTTTGGGGTTTTTTTTAAGAGTAGAAAATATTTATTGAGAGAAAGATAGCTTCTAAGAGAGACAGAAGGGGGACTGGAAAGTGAGTTGCCCACCCACCCTGCTTCTCAAAGGTGTTTTATGGGACAAAGCCATGAAGTGAGGGAAGGTGGGACAAAACTATAGTCAACTCGTACAATTACAAGTACAGTCACTTAGGTAGTATTGGTCCAATGGGAAATCACAAGGTGGACATGAGGTGGGACAAAACTATGATCAACCAATAAGCTTACAGCAAGTAAAGTCACTTAGGTAATACTGATTAAATGGGGATCCAATGGGGAAGCAAATCACGTAGCAAGCATACATGGGATTTTTGGTAAGGAATGGGTCAAGGATCTTTCCTAAAATGGTCAGTTTTATGTCATGTATACTTTACTACAGTTTTTTAAATTATAAGGAGTTGGCAAGTAGGGGCCGTACCACTCTCAGAGCTTTCACTGTCTGATTAAGGAGACAGAGAAGTAAACAAGGAGTTTTCAAAGCCAGGAGCGAAGAGGTACAGAGTATGAGGTGACCCCTGGTGTCTCAGGCTGACATTTCTCTGCAGCAGTGAGCCCCTTGGGGGTGCTGGGGGCTGCAGGCTGGGCCCGGACACTCAGAGGATCCGCATGGAGAAGATCCTTCAAGGATGGCTTGGAGGGCTGTGGGTCCCAAGCTCCTCGCTCTTACGAACCACATTCTCTGTGAGTCATTTAGTTGAAACTCACTTCCTTCAAGTGAGTCCCAGCCTTAGCAGGAGTGAATGTCAAAGCCATAGCACTCCCCAAATGATAGGCTGCTGCCAGGGGATTTCCACATAGTCAATGGCCCTGGTCCCTGTCATTATACTCTGCCTTCTTTGTATGAACTCCCAAATCCATCTTGGCTTTTTTCTGGCAACCACCAGGGCCCAAGATAAGGAGGACCACCTGGGCTTCTGAGGAGCCTGACTCTGAGGCCACCGATATCTATTCCCCCGCCCCTGCCAGTCACAAGACCTTTGCAGGTGGGAGTTAGATAGAGATGACAGTGACATGCCCTGGAGCATCAGGGAAGTGATATGCAAAGCTGTAGAGATGGCCTGGCTGCTCCAGAGCAAGGTCAAACTTGATTCAAGATGAATACATATAAGGAAGAAATGTGTCCCTGAAGAGGGGCTGAGGGCAGGGAGAAAAGAGATGTTGTCAGCTTCACAGCCACAGAAGAGGCAGAGTTCATTCATTCATTCAACAAATAATGATTAAATCTTCTCCCTGTGACAGGCACTGTGCAGGTGTGAGGATGAAGAGTGGACAAAGCAGACAAGAATCCCGCTTTTGTGGAATTCATATTCTAAGAGGAAGTCAGATAATCAAAGGATGACAAGGGAAGTAAGTTAGATATCATATGGTGATCCCAACACTGTTCACACCAGGACTTGCGAAGATGTGGAGGTGGAGCCCAGCTCTGTTCAGGGAGGAAGAGTCTTCACTGGCGGATCCTGAGCCTTCTCCTCCCAGTGGCAGGGTGGGTACAGCACACTGTCTTGGGCCTACACCTGGAGCAGCAAAGGCCCATAATGGCGCTGCTTGGATCCCAAGCCCATGAGGTTACCTTCTGCTCATACTCTGGCTTCCCACAGACAGACTTTCTAGAAGGAAAAAATGGTGGCAGCTTGTGTGTTGTCCTCACTGTGATGCTTCTGATTTTCACTGTAAATCAATATATGGTGCATAATATAAATCAGTTTATGTTACATAATGTAAACCAATATAATACACTGTAAATATCCACATCCCTGAGACTGGATAATGCACTTCCAGCCCCACATGTTGGCCCAGATAGTGGCCTAATTCAGTCTTTGCACCTGCCAGGGCTGTGGACTGGACCCTAAGTCCAGTGGACTATGAATACCTATGTTACTTACAATGTGGAGCCCTTCCCTGGGTGCTCTTCTGACCGAAGCATCCCATGTTTGATCCAAACCACCGCATCTCACCCAGCTTCTGCTTGCCCAACCATAAAATGGGCCTGATACTTCCACTTTCCAGCCTGGCTCTGAGAACCAAAAGAGATTAAAATGCCCAACAGCCAGCAAGACTCCTCATTTTGCATCTCACTCTTCTTTCTGACAGGCTCGTCCATTTTTTAAACAGATCAGGAATTAAAGATATGGAATGCTCTGCTTGTATATGTGCTTCCAAAGTCCCTTATTGATTGCACTTCCCAAGTGCCTCGCTGCACCCTCCTGCCCATCCACCACAGTGTAGGCAGATGCTACTTTTAACACAGGCCTGACATGTCCCTCCCGAAATAAAACCAAACCCCTTAGCACGAACCCAGAACCCACCACTCTCTACACTGACCCAGACACTGAGTTTTCATCTCTCTCCCAAGCCAGGTGCATTCTCACCATTGCACATCTCCTGGGAGTGAGAACGCACCCTCTTCTCTGCCTGATAACCTGCAATGCAGCCTTCAAAGCTCCCTGTAAAGTCTTCCCAGTATCCATTGGCTTGGTCAGTTCCCACTCCCGTCTGCCCACAACTTCCTTTGCTTTTCCTGTCACAGCACTCAGTGCTATGCTGTCTTTCACTAATTGTCCTTTTTCTTTCTACTACGTGAGCGCCTTGAGATTGAAGGGGGACCATTTCCTCATATGTCATTCTGTGCCCAGCTCAGCTTGCTAACACGTATTTTTTTAAATGTACTTATTTTAACTGAAAAATAAAAATAGTATAAATTTTTTATACCCAACATGATGATTGAATTATATGTGTTGTGGAATGATTCAATTTAGCGAATTAATTTACACATTACCTCCTATACTTAACCAGTTTTTGTGGTGACAATACTTCAAATCTATTCTCAATGATTTCAAACTATGTGCTGTTGTTTTAAACAGTAGTCATCAAGTTGTACAACATAGTAACAAATTTTTAGATTCACTATTATTTTATGCACCAAAAAAGAAAAAAGGTGTTGCCAATTACACCACGACACATTTAATCCCTTGGGATTTTTATTTTCTACTTAGTAAAAGATTTCTGGACTTTGAAGAAGAATTTGGTATCATTTATCACTCTTGTGCTTTTTTTTTTCTAGTACTGGGGATTAAACCCAGGGCCTTTGCACTGGGCTATGTCCCCAGCCCTTATTTTATTTTTTAGTTTTGAGACAGGGTCTCTCTAAGTCACTAAGTTGCTCAGGCTGCCCAGGTTGTGATTCTCCTGCCTCAGCCTCCCAGAGTGTTAGGATTACAAGCACATACCCACATGCTCAGCTCATCTATGTGAAATCAACTGACCAGGGCATTAATACTCTGTGACTAACAAGGGTCCAGTGGCAATTGTAAGAGCCCTGACTGCAATGCCTACCCCCCCCCATTTTAAAGATGTTAAACTATCAGGGGAATAAAGTGTGTCCAAACTCAAGGAAATACAGCCTATCTCCTCCTGGACTAGTGTTTGGCACACAGCAGATGACTGACAAATGTTCATAGGCTTGGTATTGGTTTGTGACATACACCAGCCCAGTGGTAAGCAAAAGGAGTCATTCCATATTGACCTGGGCTTCCCTGTGTCAGTGATGGCAAACCTTTTAGAGATGAGTGCCCAAACTGCAACCCAAAACCCACTTACTGCCAAGTGCCAGCACTACAATTAAACCTGAATACTGAGGTTTTAGTTTAGAAAAAACAACTCACACATTACCAACTCTTGTCTTAAAAGAAAAACAATACATGTGCCATGGGTTTGCCATCATTACATGTGTCTGGGTTTACAGAGCGACAGGCTGGCAGCGAGGCTGTGCCCAAAAGTCTTTCAGGAGGGGCTCGAGGGAAGGGAGGAGCAGCATCCAGCCTTAGAGGAGGTCCTGGTTTCCAGGTACAAGCGAGGGCAGGAGTGAAGTGCTGTTGGAAAGGCAGGCGGCAGATGGGAAGTCCTTCAAATCTGATATGCAGCAGAACTGGGCTGAGGCAGTGAACTTCAGAGTACAAAATCTTGGCCGTCCATCTTGTGCATCTGTGTGGAAACTTTTGGACCCCGTGTCCAGAAAGAGCCATGAGTACCGTGCCCTGTGCTGGCTCCAACTGCCCGTGCTCCCCCAGTGGAGTGTGAGTTGTACAGGGGACTCTAGTTTTCGGAGAGAGAGAAAGAGACAGAGGGGGAAACAGTTATAACCTAAGGAAAATAATTACCCTTTTAGGCCAGAAACACCCCACTATGTCTCCAAGTGAATGGAATTTTGTTTGAACAAGTTGAACTAAATTTAATTTGGCTGATCTTGAATTTGCAAAACACACACACATACAGAGTTTTACCTCGGGGAAAAGAAAGACCCCACTGCTTGGGGTTGTATTTTAAGCTTAGGTAAACTCAGAAAGCTGTCCTCAAGCCCTGACATCGGGCTGCCTCGGGCCTCGCTCTGTGCACAGAGCACTGTGTCAAAACTGGGGCAAGCTCTGGCAGCCATGATGCCCACGTCATACAGAACAGAAGAGGGAGGAGGAGGCAGGCACCCAGGAGCCTGCTGAGTGACCTTAGCAAATTACTTAACTTCTCTAAACTCCACAGGTCTAAGGGAGCCTAGGATCCACTATACTCCCCACCCATGACATGGCCGAAGCTGAGCATAGCCAATAACCCACACCCAGGGTTCACTCTTCAGTGCTGGAGCACAGGACCAACCAGGGGGCTGCAGGGGAGGAGCCATTCTGGTGTAGAACACTCAGGGGTCTCAGAGCAGTGGCTGTTTATTTACCAACTACTGCAGCATCAATAGAAAATTGTCACAGCTGCACATCTACCAGTGTCTCGTGAGTGGTAACCTATGGACTTTCAGAGAAGATTAAACAAGGTCATTTTATACCTTGTGTCTAGATGTCCCCCCAGAGCCGCATGTGCTCACAGGGGGGGCTCTTCGGAGGTGGCTGGATCTAGGGTGTATGATGCTGGGATTCAGGGTGGGATGATGGGATTAACTCCTGGTGTGGTACTGGGATTAATGGTATGAGTGCCACCCATTAGATAATGCCTTCTTTCTTTCTTTCTTTCTTTTTGGAGGGGGTGGGTGGGTACTGGGGATTGAACTCAGGTCTAAAATAGCTAAGGGCAGCTATTTTGGATAGAATAGAAGGACAGAACAGGGGCTGCTGCTGTTGCTTGCTGCTTGCTACTTCACTGCTGGCTCCATTCTGCCTGCCCTGCTTTGCCATGAACTGTTTCTCCTCTGTGATGTCCCTCTGCTGTGCCAACCTGCCTTGGATCCAGCCAACTACAGACTGAAACCTCTGGAAATTGTGAGCTGAAATAAGCTTTTCCTCCTTTAACTTTGGGCGTTGGGGATTTTATCCCAGCAATGAGAAAAGCAGCAAAACGGACATGAAGATGAATGAATGAATGAATGAGAGAATGAGCAAGTGGCTGGGCCTCTTGAACTGTGCCCATGAGTCAAGAATGGTCGCATCTAGTGAATTGTTTTTTATTTTTTGGTAGTGGTGCTAGGAATAACTTCACACATGCTAGGCAAGTGCTATGCCACTGAACTATACCCCCAGCCCTCATCGTTAACTATTTTATTGAACACTTACAATGTGACAGTTTATGTGCCAGGCGATGCAGAGCTCATTTAGCTCTTGCTCCCCCTCAGGGCAGTGGTGGATAGCAAGAACATCCCAGTGGACAGCAGACGGGACAGTATGAGCAAGGCACAGAGACAAAAAACATACATACAAAAGGCAAGAAAGCAGACATCTCAACAAGTATGTCAGTGTGGTTGTATTAAGTATCCTAAGAACGTGCACACCCACAAAGACTGATAGGAAAGCATGAGCCAGACCTTCCCACCGTGGTTTAAGAACTCTCACTACAGGACGAATTCTGAGCAGTCCCGGGGATGGCAAGACCATCAAGGCCATGGGACACAAGACCTTCTGGGATCTGGCCTCCACCCTCTTCCCCCTCATTGCTGCCGCCACCACCACCATCCTCTTCCCAAGTCCAGGTCAGGCTTCCTGAGCCTCAGCGTTGTTCTCCATCCTGTGACAGGGAGCCTGCTTCTCAAACCGTCCCCAGCAGCAAGTGCATCCAGAGAAAGTACTCTCTGCTTTCAGGGCCCCTCCTGGCACTTCCTCCACTCCTATCTTTCACTCCTCCTGCTCCATCTCAGTTGCTGCTTCTTTTTGATTTCTAGTATTTATGAGAGCACATTTCACACGGCAGTCTTTGCAGAGTGAGTCTGAGTACACTTAAACTGTCTTTGGATCCTGTTGTCATTGAGCACTCAACAGACATCTGTTCTAGAAGGAAAGAGGGATGGAGGGAGAAAGGAAATTCACTTTTATTCTCAGTTCCTGAGTCTGATAAAATAAATAAATAAAATGATTTTATATGAAAGAATGGGAATCTGCTCAGCATGGTGGTGCACACTTGTAATTCCAGGACTCAAGAGGCTGAAGCAGGAGAATGGTGAGTTCGAGGCCTTTCTGGATTACATAGTGAGTTCAAGGCTGGCCTGGACTATATTTATCAAGACCCTGTCTCAAAAAGACAAAAAAGAATGGGAATCAGACGTCCTCTTTTGATCCTCAGCTCTACAAGTGAGCAACTGTGGTCCACTGATAAATCAATTAACCTGAGTGTCAGATTCTTTCTTTTCTTTTCTTTTCCTTTCCTTCCCCTTTCCTACTTTTTTTTTTTCTTTTGAGACAGAGTCTTGCTATGTAGCCCAGGCTGGGCTCAAACTCACGACAATTCAGCTTCAGCCTCCCAAGTGCACCGCCACGCCTGGCTGGCTGGCTTGCCTGCTTTCTTCTTCTTGTATGTTTCCCCTGCCTTTCTTTCTTTCTTTCCTTCTTTCTTTTCTTTTTCTTTCTTTCTTTCTTTCTTTTTGGTGGGGGTGGGTGGGTACTGGAGATTGAACTCAGGTCCTTGTGCTTGCAAGGCAGGTGCTGTGCCACTGAGCTAAATCCCTGGACCTGTTTTTTGGGGGTTTTTTTTTGGTACCCAGGATCAAACTCGGGACCTTATGCTTGGGAGGCAGGCGGTGGAACCACCAAGCTAAATCCCCCGGCCCTGTTTTTTTTGTTTTTTGAGACAGGGTCTTGCTATGTAATTCAGACTGGCCTTGAACTCACTATGAGGTCCTAGGCTGGCCTCGAACTCATAGTGATCCTCCTGCCTCAGCCTCCCAAGAGCTGGGATTATAGGCGTGCACCACCGTGTCCAGCCTCTTTTTCTTTTCTCTTTTTCTTTTCTTTCCTTCCTTCTTTCCTTCCTTCCTTCCTTCCTTCCTTCCTTTCCTGGAGATTGAACCCAGGGCCTTCACAATGAGCTACATCCCCAGCCCTTTTTTTTCCTTTTGAGAGGATCTTGCTAAATCACTACCTTGTTGCCCAGGCTGGGCTTGAGTTTGCAATCCTCCTGCCTCAGTCTCCCAGAGTGTGCACCACCATGCCCAGCTCCTTTTCAACTGTACATAATCCTGCAGCCAAGAGCTCAGAACCAGAGTAAACAGTATGTGTGCGATCTTGTTCTATTTCTACTGCCTCTCATTGGGTCTCCCTTTATGCGAATAGCGACTGATGCAAAACATATTTCTTTTCATTTTTATACCCTGGAATGTAAAACTGAGAAACAGGAAGGGAAAAAAACAAGAGATGCTGAATTCTTTCTACACATGATACAATGAAGTTAAATAATGGGAGGTTAATTGTTCTCTACAGGAGAGCTCGATTCAATGGCTTGATTGGCAAACACTGCGGGCCCTGTCTCTCACTGCTCAAGGCAGTGGGATCGTAGGTTCTCCAGGGCAAACCAGCTAACGGCTCTGCGGCAGTCAGGGCCTTTCATGCGGCTCCTCCACTCAGACCCCATTTTCCTCTGGACAATTAACTTTATTAAATGGCTGCAGCTGCAATTAAGAGTGGGAGAATCCAGGCATGTGTCTGGGTCCGAGATGCGTCCTGTGTGATTTTTCGAATACTTTGGGTTTGGCAAAAGTCAAGACACATTCTGTCAAGTTCTTTTTTCCCCTTCATTTTTAAACCCGTGTGTATTCAAGAGAAATATGGTCCATCTGATTCTCATTCATTTTCGCTTAACTCAACAAAAAGTTGTCTTGGAAGAACCAGAAAATGTCCAAGTAGCAAATCCAGCCTCTCTAATGGAAGCCTTATTAGAATGTCTCGCTCTCGACCCCAGACAGCTTGACATTCTCCAAGCAGGCCAAGCGTTTCCACTTCGCTCTGCCCTTGCACTTGCTCGCCAACCTGGTGAGCCCTTGCCTTTCGCCCGTCCCTGCCTGATGACTCTGCTCCTCCAAGTCCCGTGGCCATCTCCTCTGTAAATGCTTTCTTCATTGCCTGACCTGTAAATAACCGAGCAATCCTCTGGGCTCCTGGGATGGGTCCCTTGAGGGGCAAAGGAGTCCTTGACTCCATCCCGCTCTGAGCTGCAGGCGGTCGGTGAACTGATGTCTGCTTCGGCGTTAAGCCCTTGACCTTAATTAAAGGCCTTCACAAGAAATGGCAGACAAAAATTGGCATTTGTGGTAAAGCTCTTGCCAAAAACATTAATTATCATGTCTATCAATGTCCCTATGTGGGCTTCCAGGTGAGAAGTGAACTTGAGGTTTAAGGACCAAAATAACCATGGACTTCTTCCTCTCTGACAATGAGCGCTGTGGAACTCAGCTTGTTCCTTTTTTGTCCTGGCTGCCAGGAAGCTGAGAGAGACAGATTTGATATTCAATACTAGCAACTATATCACATGCTAGCTTCCTTTTTTTTTTTAATGGACTTAGTTTTCTATTTCTATATTATTAACATTATAAAGGGAAAGAAAACATACTTTGCCAAGTTACTTTTTTGGGGGGGCAGGTACCAGGGATCGAACTCAGGACCTTGTGCTTGCAAGGCAGGCGCCAGAACCACTGAGCTAAATCCCTGGCCCTCTGTTAGTTACCTTTTTTTTTGGTACCGGAGATCGAACTCAGGTTCTTGTGCTTGCAAGGCAGGCAGTGGAACCACTGAGCTAAATCCCCGGCCCATCTGTGAGTTACTTTTAAGTGTTGTAAAATGGCAGAGTAAAATATTAAGAAGCTATTCCTGATGGTTTCACTATAGAATAGGTCTAGTACTTAGGACTTATGAGGAAATGTTTTGTTTTGTTTTGTTTGTGGGGACTGTTTGTAGTTCTGGCTGGCCTTGAACTCACCACATAGTCTAGGCTGGCCTCAAGCTCACATTGCTCTTCCTCCCTCAGCCTCCCAAATGCTAGGATTACAGGCATGCACTAGCACAACCAGCCTGTTATTAATCTTAACAAATTCATACAGCCAGGTGGTGGCAGCCTATAATCCCAGCATTCAGGAGGCCGAGGCAGGAGGATCCTTTTGAGTTTGAGACCAGCCTGGGCCACATAGTGAGCCCCAGCCCACCCCAAACTACATGATGACAATCTGTCTCAGAAAAGAAAGAAAAAGAAAGAAGTTTCATAAATTAAATCTCTTACTACATGCAGGCATGAGTTAATTATGATGTTCTTCTTTTCTTTTTGGCAGTATTGAATTTAGGGCTTCACACATGTTAAGAATATACTCTGCCTCTGCCATGCCTTCAGCCCTATAAGCTTCTTTTTAAAAATTTTTCATCAGTACATGTTTGCAGCACATAAGGATTACATTCATCATGGGGAGTTGGTACATGTACATAATACATCCCTACAAGCTTTCTGATAGCTTAGCTTACACCATTCATATTCATTTCTGAATCTCTAATCACACAGAAATATATCTTCACCTTTAGCAATGGTTTGTGAAGTGCATGGGGAAAAATGTTCACCCAAGTGACTGTAATTAGAAAAAAATGAATTTGGGAGGCTAAGGCAGGAGGATAGCCATGAATTTGAGGTCAGCCTGGGCTACATAATGAATTCAAGGTCAGCCTGAACTACATAGTGAGACCCTGTCTCAGAAAACCAAAAGAACAAAGAAGAAGGAAGAAGGAAGAGAGGGGGAAGGAGGGGGAGAAGAGGAAGTCGTCATCAGAAAGAGCTGGGCACAGTGGTACATCTGGCAATCCTAGCTGTTTGGGGGGCTGAGGCAGGTGGACTGAAAGTCTGAGGCCACTTAGTGAGACTTTGTCTCAAAAATAAAATAGAAAAGGGCTGGGAAGTAGCTTAATGGTAGAGCATTTGCCTAGCATACATTCAGCCCTGGATTCAAATCCCAGTACTACAATAAACAAACAAATTCACAGCATTGAGAACAGTTCTATAGATCTATTTGAACCCCACTTTCTTTATCTGTAAAATGAGGCTTTAACCATATTGTTTTACAGTTGCTTTGGGGATTCAGAGACAAGCTGCTTAATATTGCAAATTACCTTCCTTTGACTTTTAAGTATTCGGTGGGGAGAAGAGATATTGTAGGACCAGGGCAAACGATCCCTGTAAGCTGTACTGCTGGAGAGTACAGGACTGGGGAAAGGGGGGATATGGCAGGTTGTCACTGGGATGGAAGCATAAGAAGTAGAGAAAATAAAAGAGAGAATCTGAGGGCAAAAGCAGACAGATGCAATGGCCCTTACCTGCTAGAAACCAGCACTTTAGATTAAGGAGATTCTGCTTGATTGCTGAACATAGCACATGAAACAATGGAAGACATCATGGGTTTTGACTTTTAACATCTAAAATGCCCTGGAGTTGTGATATAAGTGTGTTAGGTGGATTTTCATTGCAAGGACAAAATCCCTGAGATCTGCAATGTAAAACAGAAGTTCGTTTCGGTTCATGGTTTTGGAGGTTTCAGTCCATGGTTGGCTGGTGCCAAGGCAGAAAAGCACAGCAGAAGGGCCTGGAGGAGAAAAGGTGCTCATTGAATGGCAGGCAGGAAATAGCAGAGGAAGAGCAAGAGAGAAAGGGGCCAGGGACCAGGTACGGAGCCCAAAGTCATGCCCCTGCCCCATGCAGATGCACCCAGAAGTGTGCTCCATTCATTTCCTAGGTGTCTCTCAAGCTTATTATCAAGCCTAACCTTAAATGGAGGAGGAAGTATGTCATGTGCATGTATGAATCTGCCCGAATAAAACCTATGTATCTATATAACCAATAAAAAAGTGAACCAATTTTTAAAAATATTAACCTTCACAGTTTCTGTCAAAGTACAATACAGGGGCCACTGACTGGACTCATGGTGACTTTAGGGCACAAAGAGAAACATTTATTATTGTGATGGTTATATATTAACTATCTCACAGGCTATGGTTTGGGTACATATCTCCCAAGGGTCCCAATGTCAACAGCCTGTCTCCCAGCCCAGGGCGCTACTGAGAGTGGTGGAACCTTTAAGGAGCGGAGCCTAGAGGAAGCTTTCAGTCATGGTGGGTGTGTCTTGAAGGGGATATGAAGACCCCGGGCCCCTTCTTGCATCTCTCTTTCATGTCCTGGCTAAGAGCTAAACAGATTCACCATCTGTCCCACCAGGACCTGCTGCCTCAACACAGGCCCAAAATGACAGAACCAATACTAGATGATGACTGAAACATCTGAAACCACGATCCAAAATACACCATGATCCAAAATCTCTGTCCACTGCACACGGTGATGCCTGCCTGTAATCGCAGGACTCAGGTTGATGAGGCAGGAAGATTGCCACAAGTTCAAGGCCAGCCTGAACTATAGACTGAGATTCTGTTTCAAAATAAAAATGAAAACCACATAAATAAATAAAACAGAGACAAAATATTTTTTTAAAGTATCCCCCAGCAGAAGAGCATTAGTTATATCCTTTCAAGAATTTTCTCAGCCATCAAGAAAAGAAGCTTTTGAGGGGGAGAATGGGATAAAATAAAATAAAATTTATTTTAAAAAAAGAACAGAAGCTTTAAGAGGACTGAGGCAGCTAAGGGATACAATACATATGCTGACAGCCTCTCAGAGGAGATAGTACAGAGACCACAGAAGAAAGAAGAAAGAATCAGTGCTATATTAAAATGAAGGTAAAGCCACACTTACAACTACTTTTATCAGGGTAGACAACAGGTTTTTTTCTAATGATCAAAGCTACTTTCCAAGCTCAATTTTCAGCAGAGTTGCAGGGGAGCCAAGAAGATGGAACGTCTCAGTTTTGAGAGCCAGCAGGTCTATAGCACTCCTTACTTCTTACGTTGAAACTATCTAGGCTGGGGCCATCCAGACAACCAAGGTCAGGAACTCATCTAGGTCTGAGGTGAGCTCTGCGGTGTAACACTTGCCTAGAATTCGCATGGCCCAGGGTGCAATCCCCAGCCCCGAAAGGAAAAAAAGGGAAAAGAGCTGATCTATCAGATGTGGCCTGATGTTCTGAGCTACAAAGGACTTGATCTGCTTCCTCCTCCGCGTCACAGACGAGCAGCCCAGCCTGAAAGTGAGAAGCCTGACCCGAGCTCACAGGTGTGGGAGCCAAGTGAAGACCGCAGGACAGGCCTTCTGCCTACTCCGCTCCCCGGCCCTCTGTGTGCACCCTGCTCTGCGAACAGACTAAAGAAAGGCCACACTTCTCCCTGCCTGGCCCAGCACGCAGGACAGATCGGCTGTTTGTGCTCCCCGTACACTGACTACGGTCTATTACCTCTCCTGCTTTCTCTATCCCCACAGGCCTTGCCAAGGTGTCTACATGCACCAACCACTTGGAAAATGGGGAGTGCGTCTCTTGGCAACATTTTTTGCGGGGCGGCACTATTTTTTCCCCTTAAATACCAACTAAGTTTTTAGGTAATCTAAACCGATTGTGTCAGAGTGTTGGTGCTGCTGCTGCTGCTATTTTTGAGACAGATCTTTCACTATGTAGTCCAGGTTGGCCTTGAACTTGTTATGTAATCATTACATATCAATAAAAATAAAAATTTTAAAAAACAAAAAGATCTGCTGTGTAGCCTAGGCTGGCCTCCTGCCTCAGCCTCCTGAGTGCTGGAGTGACAGGTGTTTGTCACCACACTCAGCACACTCAGCTCACCACGGTCTTAAATACCAAGACGGGAATATTTTGACTGGCATCTCAGCTCCCTAAGGGCAAGAACTATGTCTGATCTGTGAGAACCCTGTGCCAAAGCCAGTGCTGAGCTCACAGTAGGTCAGCAAAACGAGATGCTGTCTGAAACCAATATTTAAAATTGGAACCAGACAGAACTGGATTAGAAACTTTGGGCAGAAGCTTACATGTTACCTAACCTCAGTGGGCCTCAATATCAACATTCTTTTTTTTTTGGAAACAGGGTCTTGCTATGTAGTTCAGTTCAGGCCGGCCTCGAACTCACGGCGATCCTCCTGTCTCAACCTCCTGAGTGCTAGGGTTACAGGCATGCACCACCATGCCTGGCTAATATTTTTTTGTTTGTGTTTTTGTTTTGGATCTGGCTAATATTTTTAACTATAAAATAATACAAAGGGCTGGAGATATAGATCATTGGCAGAGCACCTGCTTAGCATGTCTGTGGCCCTGGATACAATCCCTAGCGCCACAAAAAATAAAATAAAATAAAACTGGTGTGGATGGTAGTACATGCCAGTAATCCCAGCTACCTGGGAGCTTAAGGCAGAAGGATCACAAATCAGAGGCCAGCCTGGGTAATTTCCACGATCCTGTCTAAAAGTATAAAGGGCTTAAATCAGTTGTGGTGGCACATCCTTGTAATCTCAGCACTGGGAGGCTGAAGCAGGAGGATCACCTGGAGTTCGAAGCCAGCCTGGGCTACATAGTGAGTTCCAGGCCAACCTGAACTATACAGTGAGAGACACTGTCTCAAAAAACCAAAAATAAATAAATAAATGTATAAATAAATGATAAAATAAATAGGAATGGAGATGAGCTCAGTGGTAGTGTGCTAGGTTCATGCATGAGTCCCTGGATTCCATCCCTGGTATAGCAAAAATAAATAAAATAATACAAATACCACCTACCTTGCAGAGCTGCTTGGAGGACAGATGGAGCTGAATGGCGTGTATGGAGCGCGAGGCAAGGGAGATGCTACATGACCCATAGCCCTCGCAGTGACCGTGTCCTCGGTCAACATTTAAGCCACAAGAAGATGAAGTCAAATTTAAATTGGCTCTTCTCTAGGGGACAAGCAAGAAATAAAGAACAAAGAACAACAAATATGATTATCCAGCTGGTTTCCTCTGCTATTTATTGTCAGAGCTTAGAGCCTGCCATGAAGTTGGCCCTGCCTCATCCCCACTTCTGCTTCGGCTCCCAGTGAAGTCATATCGTTGGGCTTTCTCTGTCTGTCTATTGACACAGCCTGTGAGTCACAAATTCAACAGGATGACTTTGCTGCAGTGTGATTGACTGGAAAATGTTCCCTCATCTGACTTTTTTTTTTTTCAAGCAAAGAGACATGCTTATTTTTGCAGCATGGAGTGCTCAGACTCTATTTATTTAACATGGGTCTCTCTGACATTCACACTGGCCAACGAAGGACTGACGATGTTCATATTTTGCTCTACCAAGTGACATCTATTTCCCACCTCCCTCTCCTTCTCCCTTCCTGCTGACTATTATATCTAAAGCAAACAGTCCCAGCACAATCGTTAGATTGCACTTGAATTTGGTGTTTACTTGACATTTACACACTGGCCGTGCTGGACAGCTCAGGCATTCCAGGACAGGGGCTCAGCCAGGGGAGATTGTGTTCTACTTCAGCTCCCAAGAACCTCGGCAGTTGGACAGTGTCTTGAGAAGTTGCTTGCGCTGACTCTTGTATCTGAATTAGGATCTTTTAGGGGAGATGGGGACCTCTGAATGTCTTCAGTCTTCCCAGAAACTCTGTTCCTTTACCATACAGGGCAGACTGGCCATGCCGCTATTTCTCTTCTTCCCCTTGAATTCAACTGTGCTAGTCCCCAGATTATTAATTTGATTAACTCCATCACCAGTTCTATTTCTTCCTCTGCAAGATAGGATTAATATGCCAGGTGTGGTGGCACAGGCCTACAATCCCAGCACTCAGGAGACGGAAGCAGGAGGATCACTTCAAATTCAAGGCCAGTCTGGGCTGTATAGTAAGTTCAGGGCCAACCTGAACGTGAGACCCTGTCTCAAAAAACAAAAACAGGGCCGGGGATGTAGCTCAGTGGTTCCGCTGCCTGCTTTGCAAGCACAAGGTCCCAAATTCGATCCCCAGTTCCAATTAAAAAAAAAAAATTCTAAAGATTATTGTGGGAATAATGTACGCAAAGTACCCCAGGCAGGTTCAGAGCCCTAGAAGAATCCTTTGAAAGTTGGTTCTCCCGCTTGGCTGAGGTCTGCACTCTGGATTCAGAAGGGAAAGGGGTTCAGGCCAGGGACCAGTGCCCTTTGGGGCAGTGAAGGAGGCTGGAACTTAAGATAGGAGCCAAGATACCTGTTTTCTCATCCCTGCTCTCCCAATACATAGTCTGTGCAAGTTACCTCTCCTCCCAGGCTTCTATTTCCTGTGTGCAAAGGAAGGCCTCCAATTACACTCTAACACCATACAGTTTCCATCTCTGCAGTTCACAGGAAGTCCAAACTTACTGCCATTAAAGTCTAACTAGCTCAAAAAATGCTCTACACAGATGCCGATATTTAAAAGAAATAGTAAAAGAACAGAACATAATATTCAGTCCTGGGCAGCATGTAAAGAAACCAATATGCTCAGCAGTAGAAGACTTACCTACCATAAAAGGTCCTGGGTTCAATTGCCGGCACTGCTAAAGAAACAGAAAGAAAAAGAAAAGAAACTGCTATCTTAATGGTTATAAGCTGGGATGCAGAAAACATGATTATTGATTGAAAACCTATATAAGCAGCAGGTAGAAAATCTATCCATGCACACCTACTTCTAAGCACTTAGGTACCAAGATTCCTCCCTAGCCCTGGGGAGCTGAGGAAGTGACTGTCGCTGAGCCTGAGAAGAGGTTTTACTATCTGGGGAATTTGACCCAGGGTCTCTGGACTTGGGGAAGCAGGCACAGCACACACCTCCTTCTCTGTGTGACCTCCCTAGTACCACCTTGGCTACTTTCTTAACTGCTCCATAATACAGAGTTGTTTGTGTGCTTGCTTCCTGCAGATTAAACCCAAGGCCTCATGCAAACAAAGCATGGCTTTAGCACTGAACTACCGCCCAGCCTCATAGTGAAAATTTTTAAATTGCAAAATGGTGGTCATTTATTAAATATTTACTAGTCACTATGTGTTAGTAAACTGCATTACGATCTGAAATAAGAGTAAGTTAGGCAAGAGCAGGGGATTTAGCTCAGTGGTACTGCACTCGCCTCACAAAAGCAGGGTCATGAGTTCGATCCTGGGTACAAAAAAAAAAAGAGTAAGTTAGGCAAGTTCTCTGCTTTTTGTTTGTTTGGGTGTTTTTGAGACAGGTCTCACCATGTAGCCCAGGTGCTGGCATTGAATTCTTCATCCTCCTGCCTCAGCTTCCCAAGTGCTGGGGGCTGAGGGGGGTGTCCACCTATTAAAGCCTGCACTCATGTGCTCCTACGAAAAGTGCCAACATCATAAGGGGAATGCAAAGACAAAATGACTTAGTGCAGCAGGACATGGTGACACACACCTGTAATTCCACCACTCAAGAGGCTAAGACAGGAGGATCACCATGAGTTTGAGGCCAACCTGGGCTACATACTGAGTTCAAAGCCAGACTGAACTACAGTCTGAGACTCTGTCTCAAAAAACCAAAAGAAAATGCCTTAATGCATATTAAGTGCTTAGCACAGTACCTGATGATCAGAGTGAATGATGCTAATTAGCAATCTGAAAATCCTCTGCCAAAAAGAAAAGAAAAATACCCCAAAAAACAAGGGAGTCCCTATCCCCTCTGATTCCTTCTGATTCCTAGAGGTAGAACACACCAGAGCCTTCCAGTATCTCTTCTAAGAAAAACACGGTTAGGACTGTGTGCTAACATGGTCAATAAAGATGTAATTTTCCAATAGTGAACTCTACTTTCAAATTCTCCTCTGTCCTGCCTAACTCAACTTTTATTTTTGGCTGTACAGCTGTAGTTTTAGGCTAGTTTTGACTTGACTATGTAGCCCAGGCTGGCCTTGAACTCATGGTGGTACTCTTCCCTTAGCCTCCTGAGTCCTGGGATTACAGGTCTCTACCAACCACTATAGCCGGCTATCCTATCTAACTCTTTTTTATTTTGTTTTTGGGGGGAGCTTGGTTTGGTTTGGTTTGGGCTTTTTTGAGACAGAGTCTTGCTTTACAGTTCAGGCTTTGAACTCACTTTGTAGCCCAGGCTGGCCTCCAACTCTTGGTGAGCCTCCTGCCTCAGCTTTCTGAGTGCTGGAATCACAGGTGTGTGACACCATGCCTGGATTATCCTGTCTGACTCTTGACCAGTTTCTGTGGCTCAGGGTCATCCTCTTTCTGGATTTCAGAAGAACAAATACAAACAAAAAACCCTTGCAAATCACAGGATAAATAAAGAAAGTGTGATCCTTAATTGGTACCCAACCCTACAGATTTTTAGGTGAGCTTGATCCTTGATTGTTACACCTGCAGGGATGCTGGGGTATCTGGGGAAAAGCATAATGTGACAAAGCATTTCAGTCTTCAAAAAAGATGTCCCATTACCTCGCAGTGTTGGCTACTGCAGAACCAATTTCATGAACTATGTCTACTTTCACTGGTCCAGGGGAGAAAGTAATATTAATATCCAATATTTTGCTTAATGCTCAGGGCAGTCTTGGGAGGCAGGTACCTTCAGAGACCCATTTTGTCGACAAGGAAAGTATAGTGCAACCAGATGGCCCAACCTGCCCAAAGTCAGGGGCTAGAACACAGGCAGGGCCTGGAACCTGAATTCTTGGGTAGCAGCGTCCACCTGTGACCTCTGAGGTCGCTGCATACTTTTCTTCCCTGCCAGTCCACATGGCACATAGGCCCAGGAATTCTGTCACATCCCCTTCTCAGTGGAATTACAGCAAGGTAACTCACAGCATTAAACTCAGATAATGACCCTGCAATCTGAAATCTTCAGATCGGCCAAAGACATTGTTATGTCCTGAAGGAAGCCCAAATGAGTTTCTGTCTTGAGGGAAAGCCAAGTCTGCAGAATGAAACGTCAGAACCTGGAAATCCAATAGTTCGGTGTTTCCCACAACACTTGGCTCCGAGAGCTCTGCTGGTTAAATTTAACAAACAAATATTTATCAGTAACTGACTACATAGATTGAGTTCACTCTGAACAGATCATCTTTTTGAGTATCTACTAGAATGCTGGGAATTTCTCTAAGATTCTGTAGCATTTCCAGGGCTTCCTTCTCTGAGATGTTTCTGGAGAGAAGGATGGGTCTAGATTCAGGTTGCCAACTCTGAAACAATGCATCAGACACAATGTGAGATAGTCAGAGACTATCTGGAAATTCTTCTGGCCTTTCTCTTTTTTGAACATCGACACAAGCCTGCCTTCCATCACTCTTTCCGCCAGCCAGTATATTAAGATCGATTAACAAACCTAAGTGAAAAAGAACCCCAGAGTAATCAAACCTATTGTTAACTTTAAAAAAAAAAAAAAAACATTTCCCCGGCTCCAATACAAAAAATAATCTACCCGCTTGTCTGGCCCACAAACTGAGAAGAAAATTAAACAAAGAATTGCTTCTTTCTTGTTTGTATTTCTCAGGGTGTGATGTGTCCATTTTCAAACCTTCCTAAGTCCTATTCTTTCCAGAATGCAAAAAGTTCACCTCCGATTCAGTCTGATGCAGGGAATTGTGTTTTCCTCTGCAGGATGACATGGTCCTAGTCCAAGAATCTGAGGCACTGAGGCTTTTCATAAAGGAAGTAGAATCTTGGAGAGTGTAACGTCTCAGTTCTCCTTTGTAGCTAATTCTGCCCCTCCCCCAGAATCAGCAAAACTTGGTGGAGCAAGTCAAGAAGAAAATTCCAGCAAGTTTCCTCCATGCACTTGCCTTCTTTACTATTTCACCTAATTATTTTTAAATTTTTCATTTAGGTATTTTGGGTTTTGTTTGTTTGGTACTGGGGTTTCAACTCAGGGCCTTCACACCGAGCTGAATCTCTATCCTTTTTAAAAATCTTTGAGACAGGGTTTTGCTAAATTGCCCAAGCTGGGTTTGAGCTTTCAATTCTCCCCCCTCTTACCATACTACTGAGGTTATAGGCCTCCACCACCAGGTCTGGCTAAATTTCAGTATTTTTAAATGTTAGCTCATTTACTTTTAAAGTTGATTCAAATGCTGATTGCATCCAAAGGATTCTTCCGTTTTAAAAAAGTCACAGATAGCCTGGCATGGAGGTACACACGCCTGTGATCCCAGCACTCAGAAGGCTGAGGCAGGAGGTCAACACAAGTTGGAGGTGAGGTCAGCCTAGGCTACATAGTAAGCTCAAGGCCAGCCTGAATTACATAGTTGGCTCCTTTCTCACCAAAAAAAAAAGGAATAAGCAATCTGAAAAGCATTTGTTTCTTACTATCTCCTTAACATCTCAGGACAAGCTAAGGACACTGATAAACTGAATTTAACATCCTGTTGTCAAAATAGTAGCTCAAAAGTCTTCAAGGTAATCCTATTCATTTTGGATTATCTTTTTAAATAGTTTAAAGAATGTACTGGGCCTAAGTTTTTTTGTACTTAAGTGATGTAACTTAAATTATTAAACCTAAGAGCTCATGAAAAAGATTTTAATTAAATTTCTGAGATTTGATTTTTAAATGTCTGTGATTCATTTTCTGCTCTAAAAACTTCAATGACCAACGTTTGGGTTTTGAAAGGCAATGAATTTGGCTGCAGAAAAGAGTTGACTCTCCATTTGGTTTTGGTTTGGGTTTTGGTTATTTTTGTTTGTGTTTTTGAGTTTGTTTTATTACAATGCTTTGGCTCAGGCTGTTCTCTCACTTTGTCCAACTGTTTTGAGGGGACAAAGTTAAGATGAATTTTATTTTTTTGTCTCCTTCATAGAACTTTTCAAAGAAAGAAAAGGAGTGGGTGGAGGAAAGGAAGAGTTGAAAATACCCCGAGCCTGAGAGCTCTCAGAGGGAAGTACTGAGGGTAGGGACAGGCCCCCTCATCCCTGCTCCCAGCCCTACCCCAAGAAGAGTTTGGTTCCCTGCATTCATTCTACAGTCACTGGGGATGTGCTCTGAAGGTGCCTCAGTGGACCGGAGCTACCAACAAGAGCTATATAACAGAGGTCCTGGGAGGAAATGTAATGGCAGAGTAGCCATGCAGCTTGATTGGAACTCAGAGGAAGAAAGACTAACCTCCCACGGGACTCAGAGCAAGAGACAATTAAGAGGGACTTTGGAGTTTAGGTATGATGAGGGGTTTTGGGGAGAACTGGCATTTCAGACAGGAAAAACAGCTGATGGAAAAGCACATCATGGTTTCAGGGCTTTTCGAGAACATCCAGTTACGAATTTAGGGAGGGTGGGGTCAGTCTCTGGAGAGGATTCTGAAAAGTTTATCTAGGGCCAGAGTTGGAAACATTTGGTCCATGTGGCCAGCAGTTTGGTCTGGCTCCTCCGCGCAAAGGGGCCTTAGGAAGGTTGGCAGGTGGGGAGATACAGAGTCTAAGGACTGGGATGGCCCAGGAACAAAATGGATTAGGCTGAGCCAGGACATTCCCCTGGAGCTATGGGAGAAGAGGGGACAACAATTTAGAGGCTACAGCCATAATGAAAAGCTACAGATGGGAAACTGAACCAAGGCGGTTCCAGTAGGAAAAGTGCAGTGGAGATACTTAGGAATAGAAATGGATGGATTCTGTCGATGCCTGTGTGCCCAGGTCGAAGAAAATGAGGAAGAAACAGAGAAATCTAGGTTTCTAGTTTAAGAAGCCAGAAGAGCCTGAAGAAATTATAAGTCTGCATGGATTGTGGTGAAAGCTGAAAGACCAACTTCCTGCTAAGAGACTGTTCAAAAAGGAAAAGTCCAGTACTCATTCGTTCAACAAATACTTATAGACGATGACCATGTGCTAAGCAGGCCCTAAACTGGGGATATAGCAGAGAATATAACAATAGCTCCTACCCTTTTGAAGTTTATTTTGGGTGCCCTGGAGAATACCGGTGATAGTAATAGCTAGTATGGATTGAGTGTCAAATCCTGCGCTTGTATGATCTAATTTGATCTTCATCACTCTTAAGAAGTATATACTATTGGGCCGGGGATTTAGCTCAATGGTTTAGCTGCCTGCTTTGCAAGTGCAAGGACCCGAGTTCGATTCCCGGTACCAAAAGAAAAGAAGTATATACTATTACTGCTGCCATTCTACAGAAGAGGAAACAGGTGAAGTGAGGTCACTTGGCCAGCTAGAAAGCAGTCAGATGAGGAAATCTTGTGTTAAAGCCTACTTTCTTAACCTAAGACAGAGGTGAAGGCCAACACCAGCTACTCCAGAGGCTGAGGAAAGACTGCTTGAGCCACAGATTTCAAGACCAGCCTAGGCAATATGAGAACTGTTCTCAAAAAAAAAAAAAGGAAGAAAAGAAACCTGAGATTAAAATGAGGCTGGAGTTTACAAGTAGATGGGAGTGGAAGCTAATAAAATTTTTGCCACCTTGCAGAAGTTGCAACCCCCCCCCCAGTTATTCATTAGTAGGGATTGCATTTTAAAGCCACTTGGGTACTTAAAACCTTTGGGCTTTTAAAAAAGTAGCTTTTATCTGAGTGTTCTGCCAATGAAAAATAATAAAAAATAAAAATAAATTAAAAAGCAGCTTTTCCTGAGTCCTGCAGCAGCTATGCATAGATTGCCCAGGCCAAGGGGCAGCTCGGCTCCCCAGGGTGCTCTAGTGCCCAGGCCCATGATGGGTGCACAGCCCTTCCAGGAAGCATTCATTCTGTCTCTTCAATCTGTCACATCCCTCTAAGGCTCCAAGTTAATCCCCCAGCACACACGGCTTCCATCACACCTCTGCCAACTGATGCAGTTTATTCCGGAAAAAAATTATTTTATAACTCCAAGGACATTAATAATTAACTTCCATACCACAAAACTTGTAATATCAGTTTGCTGAAATAAAGTCACCAGTATTTAATTCTTCTTTAAAGGGTGTCTTCCATTACTATTATTTTAGAGTGCAATTTAGTCATCAAAGGTTTACTCAGCCTCATGTTTATAAATTATACAGGGCAGGGATTTAACTCTTCTGGCCCTACCTGTTCTGAAGAGAGGGAGGGTCATAGCCTTGTTGTCACAGCAGGCACCTGTCATGAAAGGAGATGAGATAGCAGCTCCAAGTTCCTTCCCTTTGGGGTGAATAGAGAGATTCCCCTTTATGATGCAGTCAGGAATAACCAGATAGTTGCCTACCACAAAGAGGCCCCAGCTTCCATCCTTCCAAAAGCTGTTTGTAAACTTCTTTTTCAACTGGGTTTCAGAATCTTGTCTTGATTATATGATGTAATAATAGTGGCTTCCAAATTCATCTGCGCAGTATTGTTTTTTCACTCTGCTGGTTACGGTTAGGTTATTTTTCTGAGGAGGAAGGGTTAATGGAGCAAGTCCTGACTTTCGTGTTTACATCCCAAGTTTGAGGGCTGCCAACCAAGGGCTCACCCAAGTTCACTAGAGTTTAGGGACCTTGGTCTGCATGGAAACGTGCCTATCTTTCCTCGGAGCCTTCAGGTCCTAGTTCCCCAAGTAGTTTCTGCCATCACAATGAAAGGGGTACAGAGTAAGATAGCAGGTGTTTTCTCTTGCTTCCTCCGTTTGAAAGGGCAGTATTCTCAGAGTTAAAGTATTGTAGTGTAGCTACCCATGTCCTTTGGGGGTGGGGCTGAACTGCTGGAGGCCACCAGAGGGAGGGCCTCCGGTTGCCCTGCCAAGGCACGCCCCTCGCCCCAGCTGCAAGCCCTCTTGGCCAAAGCAAAACTAGAGGATGGTAGTCATCCTCAAAGGCGTCCCGTGCTCTGATCTTAAGAGGGATTCCTGCCTTTGGCAGAATGGGCCGACTCGATTCACTGGGGAGAAATACATTCCAAGAATGCTTGTGTGGTCGGCGAGGAGTGGAAAAATCAGGGATAACAAATATTCCGAAGAAACCTAATAGGTACCAGGATCGCAGGATTCAAACAGGTGACGAGTACGTGGCAATCGGAGCTCTAAAAGGGGAGCGCGCACACGCTGCCCGGTGCTTGGAGCATCTCTCCGGCTCCCTAGCCCCCTCTTCCCCGGCTGGCTGTCTGTGGCCGAAAGCGGCAGCAGCGCTGGTGAGGGGCTCGGCTGGTAGAGCGCGGGTGGAGCCTGAATACAAAATAAACACCTCGCAAATTTACGTTCAGCAAGTGATACTGAACACCGCACTCACGTTTAAAAAAAAAAAAGGTACTGTTTGCAGAGATGAAGTTGAAAACATTTCCCGGCTGGAAAATTACTGCTCGCAAACTAAGGAGGGGGTGGGGGGCAGCGTTCTGAGAGTGAAACTACGAAGTGCTCTTCCCTTTCTCCTCCGCGGGGCCAGAGCCGCCGCTAGGGCTCGGTGTGTACTTTTCTGGGAACGAGGGTCCCACCGCGTCGCTCCATTCCTTGGCACCTAGCCACGTTCCAGCCAAGTGTCTTTTAGTGTGCCTGGCGTGCCCGGAACTTGAGCTGGAGGGAGTGAGCTGTCCTCTGACCCCATCCTCACCATTTCACCTCTTTATGACTCAGTTTTCTCATCCATAAAGTGGAAAGGAGAGTGCGTAGCTCGTAAAGATGCTGGTTGAAAGGTGTCCCCGAGCCTCACAGTCCCCCCCCCCCCAAGGAAACCTCGAGCCCTTTCGCTCCCTTCCTCGCCGCTTTAAATCTCAAAAAACAAAACCCGGGTCTCCATTCCGGCCTCCTGTGGCCGTCACCGGCACGGAACTCTGTCCAGCCCTTGGAGGCGCACGCCCCGCCACCCAGCGCCGCGCACTCGCCTCTCCCCGCCCCCGCCCCCAGCCGCTGGAGGCCCAAGGAGGCCCGGAGGAGGCCAGGCCCAGCGTGCGTACGCTGGGGGACGGGCTGGATGAGTCAAGCGGATAATCGCGCTCTTCCCGAGCGCGCAGATGGCGCGGCGAGCGCGTACGCGAACCGGGCTAGGGGCGCGTCACCTCCCTCCCCGCCCCCACCGGCCTTCTCTGCCTCGGGCCTCGAACCCACGGAAAGGACTGTGGAGGCGCGGAGGGTCCGAGTCGCCCGGCGACACAACCTGCGCCCTCTCCCCCGCGCCGTCGCCGCCACCGCCGCCGGCGACAACGAGGCTCCAGCCCGCCAGCTGCCCGGGTGGCGTCACGGCTCGCCCAGGTCCCGCCCGCGCCCCTCCTTCTCCCCCGCCCCCACGTGTGCCTAGTTTGTTTATTTAGCTGCCATGGCAACGCGCGGGGGGCGGAGAGAAGAAAGGGGGGCGGGGCCTGGCGACGGACCCCGAGAGCGGTTGCCTGTCGGAGGCGGGGGAAAGAGCTGCCAAGAAGTTATAAGTAAGAAGCGCGCGGCGGCCGCCAGCAGTTCCCCCGCCGGAGAGAGCGAGCGCGGCTGCGGGCGCGCGGGGAGCAGAGGCAGTGGCGGCCCCCCGGGCCTCCGAGTGCCCCTCCCCGACCCTCTGGCCCCCCACACAGCCAGCGCAGCCCCCAGGACTCCGCGCCTTGCGCCTCCGCCCAGCTCGCAGCTCCGAGCCACCGCGGCCCTTCTCACCTGGCGGTGCCGCCCGCCCGCCGCCCCAGCCACAGCCCCATCGCCCGCGACGACAGCCGCAGAGACCACGACAGTGGCGGGGGACGCCTCTGAGTCAAAGAGAGCGCAGCCTGGCCACCGGACTACTTACTCGCCTTGCTGATTGTCTATTTTTATAAGAGCTTACAACTTTTCTAAGAACTTTTGTGTACAAAGGAACTTTTTTTTTTTTTTTTTAAGGAGACGTTTCTAGTTTATATTTAATCCAAAGAAGGATCTTGGGCATTTTGGCGTTTGGGGCTTTTGACTTCGTTTCTAAGTGTGATTTCTTTTTCTTCGTTAACTTTGGAGTTCGGGTACCCCCGCTGCTTCGGGCTCCCGAGGACCTTCTGGGCCCCCACATTAATGAGGTAGGTGAAGTGCGGGGTATCGAGGACAGGGAGGGGTGCGGACCGGCGGGATGACCCGGAGCGTTGGCCTAGAACGAACGGCCCCTCACTCCTGTCTCCCTGTGCGCCCTGCCCGGCCGCAGGCAGCCACCTGGCGAGCCTGACATGGCTGTCAGCGACGCGCTGCTCCCGTCCTTCTCCACGTTCGCGTCCGGGCCGGCGGGAAGGGAGAAGACACTGCGTCCAACAGGTGCCCCGAATAACGTGAGTGTCGCTCAGGGCCCTGGGGAGCGCCCAGTTGAGTTTCTGTGGATGGGGTGGGGATGGGCGGGAACCGGGGGTCACTTAGAGCCACCGGGCGGGGGGAAGGGGCGGTCACCACCTTGACTCCGCAGCTTTCCCGGGATGGTGCAGCGCCCCTGCCACGGCTGCATGTTCGTGTGGTCCGGACACTGCGGTGCTGCCAACGCGTACAGCGGGTCCTTACACGTCCCCGGGCGAGCCGGCAGTGGGGTGGGTGCTCGCGGTAGGCGGCTAAATCCCGAGACACCGGCTACCAGCTGGCCCCCATAGGTTAGCGAGTAGGCGGCCAGTGGCGAAGGCGTACCGGGAGAGCTGGTGTCCCAGTTCCCGGGGCGCTGGGAACGTCCCCGGGATGTGGCAGGGGAGGGATCCAGTGTTAGCTCAGACTGCAGCGCTGGCATCGGAGTCCCGGGGAGTGTCTGCCCGCCCAGTGCCCATGTCTGGGAGGTGCGGACGGGAGCCATTAGGACGTCGGGTGGCGACCAGAGACCACCGCTCACAGCCTCTGCCTCGCCGTGTCCCTACAGCGCTGGCGGGAGGAGCTCTCCCATATGAAGCGACCTCCCCCGGTGCTTCCCGGCCGCCCCTACGACCTGGCGGCTGCGACCGTGGCCACAGACCTGGACAGTGGAGCAGGCGCAGCCTGCAGCGGTAACAACCCAGCCCACCTAACCCGGAGGGAGACGGAGGAATTCAATGATCTCCTAGACCTAGAATTTATTCTCGCCAACTCACTGTCTCATCAAGAGTCAGTGGCCGCCACCGTATCCTCGTCGGCATCAGCCTCATCCTCGTCTTCCCCATCGAGCAGCGGCCCGGCCGGCGCGCCCTCCACCTGCAGTTTCAGCTACCCCATGCGGGCCGGGGGCGACCCGGGCGTGGCCCCGGGCGGCACTGGCGCCGGCCACCTGTACGGCCGGGAGTCGGCGCCCCCTCCCACGGCTCCCTTCAACCTGGCGGATATCAACGATGTGAGCCCTTCGGGCGGTTTCGTGGCCGAACTCCTGCGGCCCGAATTGGACCCAGTGTACATTCCGCCGCAGCAGCAGCCGCCGCCAGGTGGCGGGCTGATGGGCAAGTTTGTGCTGAAGGCGTCACTGAGCGCCCCTGGAAGCGAGTATGGCAGTCCCTCGGTCATCAGTGTTAGCAAAGGCAGCCCAGACGGCAGCCACCCGGTGGTGGTGGCGCCCTACAGCGGCGGACCGCAGCGCATGTGCCCCAAGATCAAGCAGGAGGCGGTGCCCTCTTGCACGGTCGGCCGACCCCTGGAGGCCCACTTGGGTGCTGGACCGCCGCTCAGCAACGGGCACCGGCCAAGCGCACACGACTTCCCCCTGGGGCGCCAGCTCCCGAGCAGGACTAACCCGACCCTGAGTCCCGAGGAACTGCTGAGCACCAGGGACTGTCACCCCGCCCTGCCACTTCCCCCAGGATTCCATCCCCATCCGGGACCCAACTACCCACCCTTCCTGCCTGACCAGATGCAGCCGCAGGTCCCACCGATTCACTACCAAGGTCAGTCTGGGGGATTCCTAGCTCGGGCTGGGGAGGTCTGTGTATGTTGGGCTCCCATGATGTTGACCCCAACTTCTTCACCCCTAGAGCTCATGCCACCCGGTTCCTGCCTGCCAGAGGAGCCCAAGCCAAAGAGGGGAAGAAGGTCGTGGCCCCGGAAAAGGACAGCCACCCATACTTGTGATTATGCGGGCTGTGGCAAGACCTATACAAAGAGTTCTCATCTCAAGGCACACCTGCGAACCCACACAGGTAGGGGGATAGCAGCAGGGGAAGAGGGGAGCTGATAGGCTAGGACTCTCCGAGGGCCTCCTTGGGGTGCTGTGGTGTATCTGCTTCATCTCTCCGATCACGAGAGAGGACAGCACACTGGCGCCAACGTTTTTGCCCAGGAGCCTTTTGCTTGATGGATGGTATCTGTGCTTGAATGTTCTGTTTTGCCAGGCTTTTAAAAGGCAGGGGGGGCTGGGGCTTTAGCTCAGTGGTTCCGCCGCCTGCTGTGCAAGCTCAAGGACCTGAGTTCCATCCCGGTACCAAAAAAAAAAAAAAGGCAGGGAGATTCCCAGCATGTGGGCCTCTTGTAATTTGGGCAAAGCAGTGCTCTTGTAATAAAGAAATTCTATTTTGCAGTATAAGAATATAATGTTTTTTAAATCAATTTTTTAACTTCTGGGTTATTTTTATTGTCTCCTTTCCAGATTTTTTCTCCTATTCTAATATTTTTAATTTTAGTCTTTATTTTTTAAATTTGTATTTGCAGTACTGGAGGTTGAACCCAGGGCCTTTGCACTGAGCCACATCCCACCCAGCCCCTTTATTTTTTAGTTTGAGACAGGGTTTCGCTAAGTCACTGAGTTGCCCAGGCTGGGCTCAAACTTGTTTGCTTGTTTGTTTGTTTGGTTTTTGGTACCGGGGATTAAACTCAGGTCCTTGGGCTTTCGAAGCAGGTGTCGAAACCACTGAGCTAAATCCCCAGCCCTCAAATTTGTGTTTAAGAGTGCCCCTAAATTTCCATATCACACAACTAGGTACAAACGAAGTAGTGTTCATTAAAATAAGAGAAGTGTCAGTACTGGAAAAAAATAGCCACCTGTAGCTTTTTAGATCCAGTTGTAGAGGAATAAGATTTTTTTCTTGACATTGGACGTAGTGTCACAAGCCTGTAATCCCACCACTGGGTGAGGCTGAGGCAGGAAGATCACTGAGTTTCAGGCCAGCGTAGGCTCTACATAGTAAGTTCATGGACAGCTTGAACTACATAGTGAGATCCTGTCTCAAGAAACCAAAACAAATATAAATATATATATATATTTGTATTTGTATAGTTTGTCTGCTCTGGGCAGACAGACATCATCTGTCATAATTTCCACATTTGCTTAGATCTCTGTGATACCTTGGCTCAAAAGAATTAACATTACCACTATAGAAATGTAGACTTAGGTGGTGGTGGTGTGTTTTCATTGCTTAACTAATATTCCCCTAAAACTAAGAGCAAATACTTACAAGTCATAGTGTTGTTCTTTTGTATGTTCTCAAATTTAATATGACCCTTCAGTGGTATGGTCATTCCTGGATTCTTTCAGAAATGGGGTAAATGGGGAGTTGGTTTAAATGTTTGGCCCCAGTTTTGAAAAGGGCCAGTTCTTTGTGTAGCGATGGCTTCAGCAGCTTCCTTTTCCTTTTCCCTTTGCAGGTGAGAAGCCATACCACTGTGACTGGGATGGCTGCGGGTGGAAGTTTGCCCGCTCCGATGAACTGACCAGGCACTACCGCAAACACACGGGGCACCGCCCCTTCCAGTGCCAGAAGTGCGACCGGGCCTTCTCCAGGTCGGACCACCTGGCCTTACACATGAAGCGGCACTTTTAAATCCCAGAGTGGACATGACCCGCACTGCCAGGAGACAATTCAGTATTTTTTTAAAACCTTTTACACTGTCTTCCCACAAGAGGAGGAGCCCAGCTGGCAAGCACAACAATCATCACGGTCAAGTTCCCAGGAGGTCCGCTTGAGAGTGGTTAATCGGGAGAAAGGAGAAATCCAAAAGACATAAAAATCAAAGAACAGATGGGGTCTGTGACTGGATCTTCTATCATTCCAATTCTAAATCCAACTTGAACATGCCCGGACTTACAAAACGCCATGGGAGAGACTGGAAGTTGTGGATATCAGGGTATAAATTAGATCCATGAGTTGGGGAGGGCGGGAAGACCCGGATTTTCTTGAATTGTGTTTCGATGCAATATAAGTATAAAGATCACCTTGTATTCTCTTTGCCTTCTAAAAGCCATTAGTATGATGTTAGGAGAAGAGGAAGAAATTCAGGTACAGAAAATGTGTTTTAATGGCCTACATGATGGTGCTTGGTGAGTCTTGGTTCTAAAGGTACCAAATGAGGAAGCCAAAGTTCTTCTCAAACTGCTGCATACTTTGACAAGGAAAATCTATTTTTGCCTTCCGATCTACATTTATGACCTAAGTCAGGTAAATATACCTGGTTTACTTTAACATTTTTATGCAAACAGTCTGTTATGCACTGTGGTTTCAGATGTGCAATACTTTGTACAATGGTTTATTCCCAAGTATGCCTTAAACAGGACAAATGTGTTTTTTCTACATAGTTCCTTGCCTTAATAAATATGTAATATAAATTTAAGCAAACTTCTATTTTGTATATTTGTAAACTACGAAGTAAAGAAATGAACATTTTGTGGAGTTTGTATTTTGCATACTCAAGGTGAGAAATAAGTTTTAAATAAACCTATAATATTTTGTCTGAATAACAATTTCATTGTTTTGTTTTTGTCCTGGAAAAAACATGTAACAAATTTCACTTTAAACACACTGACTGAGGTGTAGGGCATGTGAGAAACACACTAAAAAGCCCAGTTCATCTCAACAGAGGCTGTAAAAGACTTGGTTTTTTAAGCTACTTGGTTTTATAATAAGTACTATCACAGCTGAGAGTTTCAAGTATTGAAAATTATGAAATTGTAAAAACATCTGATCTGGGTTTGTCCTTTACAAATGTACATAAAACTACTACGTGGAAGCAGTTTCCTTACCTGAATGTGATTTTTCCAGGTAGAAACAGCTCAATTGTTTTCTCAGTTTGCTCTGTTTTAATATGAGAGTACTCAAAACTACACACATTCTAGTTTCGCGTTTAAAAAAAAAATATATGGTTTGTCTTTAATTAAAAATAAATGAACATATAAAGGGTTCTCTGTGGAGGTCTGGCCTTGCACTTTCCACAAAATTTGAGTAACAAAAGAGCCTTCCCCAGGCAAGGGAATGCAGTTCCACAGTGCCCTCCTGAGGATTAAAGGATTCATTTATGCAGCATGTATTATCCCTAAAGAAGTCAGAAAGTTTCTAGCAGATTATTTTAAAACTTTCTCTACTCTTGTGGCTAAAGACAAGGAAACAGACTGGAACGAAATTAAAAATGACAAATTCAGAGGTGGGGCTTTGGGAGCAGAGCTAGGTGACATGCACGTTAGCCTGGGCTAGATTCCCCAGTACTGCCCTCCCCAAGCTAAACCATAGATTTCAGTTTTTAAATGGTATTTTTGTAAGTTTGTACCATTTATGTTTTTGAAGTTACTTAAGTTAAACCATTATTAAAATTTAATTGTTTTGGGCCAGGCATTTAGCTCAGTGGTTCCACTGGCCTTCTCACAAGCGCAAGGACCTGAGTTTTATCCCTGGTACCCAAAAAAAAAATTTAAATTGTTTTGAGATGAGGGCTCAAGAGATTGAAGTAGATCCATTTGTGTCTGTCACAAGACGGAGAAGCATTTGTGACACTTGTTGACACTTAATGGTGATGTGGGTGACTAATCAGATCATCAAGGGGACAGAAGCTGACTGGCATTTTCCTGAGAGTGCTTATTAACCATCCTTTATATTTAAGGCTCAGTAATGTATTTGCACCATAGTACATTTTATAAATGGAATTTAAAAAATAGAAATTCGTAAGAGGCTCATGGTGGAACAACCCAAAGTATTTTCTTTGACTTTAAAGAGTCCAGCATGACTGGAAAACATGGCATGTGTCTTAGCTTAAAAGAAAACAGGTGCATCAATAGGCTGGAATTTTATGCGGCCAAGAACATATTTAAAGCATATTTAATGACAGGGAAAAATGCTCATGGTATGTTAAGTGGAAAAAGGAGGATATAAGACTAAACAGTATGACTCCAATTGTGTGTGTGTTATATGTATGTGTGTGTTGGACAAGAGAAACAAGGAAATTAAGAGAAAAGACTGGAAGGAAACACCAAATTATTAATACTAGTTTTCTCAGTTTAAATTCCTCTTCTCCAGCTTCCAAATATTTTAAAATAAATATAAGTATGGGTACAGCTTTTTCAAAGAATTAAGGTAAAAATATTTAGGCTTTATTTTTAAAAGAGGAATTAAAATTGTGTCAATAAAATGCCTACATTCTAACACGTTTTCTTTCCTATTAAATTGAAATTGGTTGCTCTTAATATTCTACCTCTTATTCAGAACCTTCTGGCACATAGTTAATGTATGAAAATGGTTTATTGAATCATTGTTGGGATCTTTGCTAATCATCTATTAATCCAAAATAGAAGAAACATCCTGAATAAACTGTCAAGACACTTTAAATTTACTCATATTTTTCTGATGTCATACAGAAACATTACTACACATATTTTTTCTAACCTGAAAAAGAAAGCTTCAGTATCTAGGAAAGATTTGCCAAAAATGTAACAGAACAAAACTAATGTAACAGGACTATTCAATGTACATAGGTAGCTAAACTACCCTCATACCTATCAGTTCTGCATTACTCTGCACTGTTATTACTGTCACAGTGCCATTTACACTGTATAATAGCACCTAATAATTGAGATGCCTGGTTATTATATTTTCCTTATAACATTTAATTTTATATGTCCTAGATTTTAGCTTGAGTGCTTACAGAGACAAAAGATGAACAATAGTTCTTCCCACACATCAACAGATTCTCACTTCACCTCTTTTTCTGGCAAAATATCCTTTCTACCTAAGACATCTTTGACTCTTGCAATCCTGTTTTGGTTTATAAAACCCAAACTGGTACTTCTATCATCTGAAGTAGGATGGTCAGGGGGATAACTTTTTCCCTTTCAAAACTTATTCTGATTGAGGCCAGGAATGTAGCTCAGTGCCACAGCACCTGCCAGGCAAGTGCAAGGTCCTGAGTTCAATTCCTGGTACCCCTCCCCAAAAAAATTTTGATTGAGGCAGGAGGATTGCTGTGAGTTTGAGGCCAGCCTGGGCTATGTCCTGAGTTCAATGTCAGACCAACTACATACTAAGACCCTGTCTCAAAAACAAAACAAAATAAAAATTTACTCTAACTTTTAGAAACATGAATAGTCCATAATCAAAATTAACAATCTTTACATACAAATTTTAATATAAAGAAGCCCAAGGGATATAATCTTTATGTTCGGAAAGAAAATCTACAGGGAGAATATTAAAACAAGCAGTAGTGATACCATTTGTACTTTGGTACATTAAGTATCTGAATTTAGCAGCCTGGGTCAACCAGCTATTCTGTGTTCTGACTTCTCACGCTGTATTCAGCACAACATATGCAAAAGTGGATTTGTAGACCAGATAGCCCTCCACCCCACATACACCTTCTTCCTCCCTCTCTCTGATCCAGACTTAGCACCCTCTAGTTCCACATGAAACCTTTTATGTTTTTATTTTTGTCACTTTATTTATTATGTATTGTATTTTATGTATTTATTTTAGTTGTGTTTGCTTAGTACCTTCTACAGGCTATTGTACATGGATGTGTTTTTATAAGGCTAAACTGAAGCTATGTCTGCCTCCTAAAGGTTGTTTATGAAACTATCTTCATTGTTCACCAGCAGAGTCATTCAATAATATTTTCTATAAAACCACTACGATTGTCTACATACTGTAGGCTGTGGAATGCACCATGGAATGTTCCACCTGTGGAAAAAAAATTGTCAAAATCACAATGCTGTATGAAAATAAAAGTCTTTAAATTTTACATTAAGTGAAACTAAAATGAAAGTTGGAAATGACCAACTTTTGGAAAACTTTACTGTAAACAAAAGAGTGAATGTTAAGTAAATTTCTCACCATCTCTTGTAAAATAAATACATTCCTAAATCTTGAAATATACCTGGTGCCTCAGTGCCCTGGTCACAGGTAAAACAGGGAAGCCAAGGCTAAGAGGTTAGCAGAAACACAGCGAATCAGGCTGCTGTCAAGACTGCTACAACCCATAGGCCCGACTGAGGAGGCAGGCCCATCAGGCAGATTGCTTTTCTGGAATCAGGTCCATCTGCAGTCCATCTTTTTAATTGTTTTCCATCAAGCCCTTGAAGCAGTATGATTGTTTTGAACTGCTTTAGTCTTCTCTACACCTAGGTGAGTCAGCATGTTGCAATGGGTGTGCCCAAATGTCCTTCTCCACTTATCCTTAAAGGAAAAGCAGGAAATAAATAGAACCTCAATTTAATAACAGCAAAAATAAGTTCTCTCTTAGAGGATCCTCTGAGATCTCATCTGAGTTCATCTAAAAGAATAGTTTTTATTGATGAACTCAATATTATGATACACCTGTGTTAGGACCATTTGCTTGGCTTTTATGCTTCTTTTCATACCTGTGTTACCTGTTATCATCTAAGCAAAACAGGAAACAAGAGAAGTAGATGCCAGGTGCGGTGGTGCACACCACAGTTCCAGCATTCAGGAGGCTGAGGCAGGAGCATCACCGTAAGTTCCAGGCCAGCCTGAACTACATAACGAGACCCTGTCTCAAAAAACCAAAAAAAAAAAAAAGTAGATTTTTATGCAGCAGTAGGTGGATGGTTGATAGGATAGAGCCCCTGATGGAGGTTTGACAATTATCTAGTTAGAGCCACTACAGCAAAAAGTCAAACCTATCCAGTCCATTCCATCGGAGGGCAGGAGACTGAGTGGGTTACAATGACTATCTTGCTTATAACTTCTGAATCAGTAGTCACACAGGATCCGTCTCTCACTACACAGCGACCGGATCTCCACGACACATGACCAGTGCACTCTGGTGCTCTAACACATACTCAAAAGCCTTTAAAGTAGATAATAACTTCACAGAGAAATTGAAGGAAGCCTGGACCCACTTGGTAAAAGCCTGAGAGATAAGTAAATTGGTGCAAACCATGAAAGCAGAGTGTCTAAGGCATTCTCTCGACAGGGACAAGCACAACTCTCCTTTAATTCAGGTCACTTTTTTTGCTGATATTTAATAATCTTTACTTCTGCATAGTGCTGTGAGCTTTGTGAAGTATTTACATTTTCCACTACCTCAATTAATAAGAGGCAGGGGTGGGATTTTCTCCCACACCCATTATACAGATGAAGAAACTGAGGTTCCCTTTATATATCCATTTTCCACCAGTTTTTGTTGTTCTGTTTGTTTGTTTTTGAGAAGGGATCTTGTAGCCAGGGATTTAGCTCAATGGTTCCACCACCTGCCCGCCTGGAGAAGGGATCTTGTTCTGTAGTCCATGTTGACCATATAGTCTAGGATGGCCTCAAACTCACAATCCTCCTGCTTCAGCTTCCCAAGTGCTGGGATCACAGGCATGTGATACTGCACCAGGCTTGTCTTATTTCCATTTCTCATTCTTTCTGACATACTCAAAGCACTTCTGATACTTCTGTCTTCCATCCTCTGGGCAGGTAGGACTAGAGGCAAAGGAGATACACACAACTCAGAAGGATTTGCTAACATCCAGGGTTT